TTACGATGGTAGGTAAAGAAGTTGAAGAACAGCCAGTGGTGAAAAGCTAGTTTATTGGAGCAAAAAGTAGTAGAGGTCGTGGAGATAGACAATCTAATCGAAACCGGTCCAGGGGACGAGGAAATGACGTAGGAGTAGGTTATGAAAAGAAAGCTTCAGTTATTGATAAGTTGTATCAGATAATAATAACGTTTTATTAGCTAATGATAATAAACCAAATTTACGCATGATAGAATTAGAACAACTAAATTTATTTGAGTTTGGAGAAGTACCTGATTTTGATGATCAATTATATGATGAAAAATGAAATGAAGGTTGGCTGAAAGATGAGTACACGCAACGGAAAATTGCTTTTAATCCCTGGTATTGTATTCCTCGTATTCTTGATTGTCCAAAATCTATTCTTGAAGCTGGACCATTTCACAGTTTAGGTCCAAATGATAAAATATTTGTGAATCAAACCTATAACACCAAAAAAGACCTAACAACTTCTGTTAAATTCATAGTGGTTAAAGAAAATTTTAGATTAAGGTTCAAAAATCAAGTAAAATATCGGTACGAGGTTGTTTGTTTGCAAGAAAACTATCATTGGCATTTATATGCAGCTGTCAGTAAAGGAACTAAAATGTTTGAAATTAAGACCTTTAATGAGGAGCACACATGTTCTTCATTACTTATACACCCAAATCATAGGCAAGCAACCAGTGAAGTTGTGGGAACCATAATACATCACATTATGGGTCAAAGTAGTTTGAGAGTTTGGAGGCCTAAAGATATTATTATAGATATGAATGCGTTGCTGGAAATTAATTTGAATTATTCTGCGTTCTTATGCATAAATGGTTTTACCGAAATCGGGTGGCTACAGGTATGACTAAAATTTTGTCAAATTATACGATAAATGATATATATATATATATATATATATATATATATATATATATATATATATATATATATATATATATATATATTTCATTGTTTTAACAGAAAAAGTACAACAATACTTACGAAGTGAGCCGAAGCTATGGTTAAAGAAATAAATACTGGATAACAGGATGGTCGGTATATGGTGTTGACAATGCAACATATCAAGTCAATGACTTCAAAAGTGGTGGCATAGTTGATTTGAGGCAAAAGACTTGTTCTTGCAATTATTGGCAACTAACCGGTTTGCCTTGTGGTTATGTGATAATGGTTTTAACGCACTTGAAAAATGAAAACTGTGGGCATAGGGATATAGATGCTTATAAACTTGAAACGTATCGAAGAACGTACAAGGAGATCGTCTACCCCCTACCAGAACATGGTGATTGGGAGGTTCCTAATGACCTTTTGGTTGTTAACCCTCCTATAATGGAAATATGTCAACCGGGTAGACCGAAAAACACCAACCATATCCCCTCACAAGTTGAGAAGCCAAAAATAAGAATATGTAGTAGATGTCATATAACAACACATAATGCAAGGTCGTGTAAAGAAATTGTCCCAAATAAGCAAAATAAAAGTAGAAAAGGTAATAGGGCTTCATGAAGTAGGACAAAACCGATAGACAACGAAGGGACGCAAGCGACAGAAAATAAATGTAAGCAGGAAGCAGAAATCCAAAGAACGCACGAGACAGAAAACCAAGTGATGCAAGACTCACAAAACCAATGGAGGAAATACGAAGACGGAGCATACTTTCTATGGTTCGATTTGAATGATTGAAGTTTCTTTTAAAATATGTTTATTATGAAGTTTTTATAATACAAAAAAAATTAGTATTCCAACAAACTTTTGCATTACTATTTCATCATCTCCGCAGCAAAGTAGTGTTAATTTTGCAGTACTGTTTCATCTACTCTTTATCAAATAGTGTTAGTTCCGCAGTAGTAATATTTTATTATATTAAAATTGTGGTTTCATCAGTAATAATTTTACTATAAAATGACTTTAAAATATGTATCATTTCATCTACTCTGTACCTTTTCTTCGATGCATTTTTTTGAAAAATCACCCCTCATATTTTCACCCATAATGGGTTCCAGACCATGGAGCGCAGATGAGAACCTACATCTAACTCGTGCATAAATTAATGTGTACTAGAGCATCAGTGTGAATGATCCAAGTTTTTGGACCCGTTTAACCTATTCCTTCAAAGCTGACCCTCAAACCGCGCGGAAAACTATCATAACTCCTTTGATATCACAGCAAAATGGTATGAAGTAAAAATAGAAATTTTGTTATTCAACGATCTTTATAATAAAATTGATGACGCACGGCTGAATGAAGATGAGGAAGTGATCTTGGAGGAGACAAAAGAGGAACACAAATCCATTAGCGACAGGTCAGAATTCGAGTATGAAGCCCCTTGGAATCTTATAAAAGATCTCTTGTATTTTTAATTTGTATTGTGTTTATAGTAGGTTATTTTTATGTACTTGAGTTTTATTAGGTTATTTAGATGTATTTGGTTATTATCAGGTTTTTTATATGTACTACTTTGTATCAGGTTATTTTTATGTATTTGGTTTTTATTATGTTATTTACGAAATAAGTTGAGTTGTTTTCTATTTTATTCCATGGAACATAAACTACAAGCACTACAAATACATGGAAACAGAAAATACAAACATTACAAATAATAAGATAAAGCAGTAATAATGAAATGTTATTATACAGTATCACATCATAATTTTATTTGATGATTAAGTTAATTTCACAGAGGAATTTCATGGTCTTCTCACCCCTTATGCACTTAAGGTGCTTTGAAAAAGATTTATCCACTCCGATGGTTGTAGGGTTAGGCATATTGTTGGCCACAAATATGAAATGGGCAAGTATTTAACAACCGAATTCATGCAATTAGAACGTGGGATTTGGACTTGCCGGAAATGGAAAAAATGTGGTATACCTTATGATCACGCTATAGCATCACTACAAAGGCTTGAAATTGAAGAAATCCAGCAAATGGTAAATTTAAAGTTAACTACTATGGTGTATCTAAATGTTTTCAAACTAAAACAGTGAATCCTATTCCAATCCTTAGGCATTGGGAAATATCAGTTGAAAGTGTTGTCGTCTTACCTCCATGACAATATACTTGAATTGCAATGTATGGATCACAACGAATATTAGTTTGTATTCAGTTCTATGTTAACCTTAGTTTTGGTCCGTTGGTGTTGTTTACTTTTTAATAAATAATGTTTACCTTTTAATTAATAATGTTTACCTTATAATAAATAATTGTAATGTATGGATCACAATGAATAACATCATTGGATTCTCGAGAAATAACTGTGTAGACTGACAACTTTGTACGGAGTTGAAGGGTGTATATATTGTCATAGATGATCATTGAATTTTTTGGTAAAGAGTTTAAAAAAAATTTGAATTTAATATGAGTTCGATTTTCAAATTTCTATATTTGCTTATGCAACGAAGTTGATTGTTACTATTGTGATCCAATAGACCATTTTCTCGCACTGTCACCAAACATAAGAAGGTCATATATGTCTAATGATACTTTGTAAAAATTACAATGGGCTGAAGAACAACAAAAAATAGATAAAGAGTCATCTCGGGCTCTCAATGAACGTTGTGACGTCATTTCGGCAGAGTGCAAAGAGGCTAAGGAAAAGATGCATATTAATAAAAATAAAATCAAAGAGCATGAAAAATGGATAAAAAAAAACTAAGAAAACTATCAATGGAGAAAGATAAGTATCCATTGCATTTCCCTTAAGTTAATTACTATTTTTGTACGTTTATTATGTAATTTTGTTTTGTTATATGTATTATCTTCAAGGTTCTAAAAAGCTCGTTATGGCTCCGCCATGGTGCGCCAAGGCTCAAGACTTGTACCTGTCATCAAGCTTTACCAAAATGCCGTCTTAACTCATGTATGTGTATAAAATGAATAATAGTTGAAAATACATATAAAAATATTAATTATATACAAAATTGCCGCCTTAAGTCACGCCTTACAAACGATGTGGCTCGCCAAGGCATTGAAAAGCTTGAGGCTTGACATTGCCGCTAAGTCACACCTTATGTTATTTAGAACATTTATTATCTTCGAGTTTAAGTTATTTTATGAAATTAACTATACTAGTAATGATGCACAAATATAATCATAAAATAACCGATTATTCTTAAAACAGTAATAAAACTACACAACCAACCTGTAGTTGCCAAAATAATTTTTTTCATCCTATTACGGTAATTAAATCCCATAACTCGAGCTGGCTAGTGTGTCTCCACTTCCACCCCCGATGCAAGTATTTTCATGAACATGCACACATATACTCCACAATTTGCTCTACCTCCTTCTTCCTACTGCGGGACGTTTTCACCTTCAACAAATTCCACCGAAGTAGGTTTCTGTCTATTGGGAAAATGCTTCCGGTATGAAATTTTTGTCTAGTTCACTTAAAATACTATCACCCATAGTTTTGAAACAACCGTTTTCTCCATAATATTTAAAGTAACCACGTCATTTAGATGAATCGCATATGGTCACTTTCCATGTAATGAGATTCAACTTGGCCAAAAACCAATGAATTTGTGGGACGTTGATGGAAATTAAAACCTACATAAAAATGTTAAATTATATATATATATATATATATATATATATATATATATAATTTTAAAATTATATGATATATAAATAAATATACTAACCCGATCAATATCCTTCCAATGAGGTCCGCCATTCTTCCCTGCTGCTATTCGCCTCAAATAAAGTTTGTTCCCAGCTTCCAAGGTGAGGCCTTGAGGATTATTAATCGTCTACCTAGTAGTCGAAGGATTGATTTCCTTGAGCAACGACGTCTATATTATCAAATGATGTGTGTTATAAGATGAGAAGTTACATCTTGTACAATTAATTATCCAAAACGTTTTGTGCAATGATATAAGGGATATATCTTACCATAGAGTCTAACCACCCAGACCCATACATGCCAAGTAAATTTGCTCAAAGTTCTCAATTCATCTCAAAACCTTTATAATGCTTATGTTCTAAAAACAAGCACCGTCTGGTTCTTTCCCCATAATTTCCAAAATTCCTCATCGTTAGGCATGTAACGATCCAATAGTAATTGTAAGTTTTCTAAAGTATCGTCCTTCTTCGGTTTTCTTCCTTTTCTGTTCTTCACTGGTTCAGTGGACAGAACCTATAAAATCAAAATGTTAATTAGTTTTTAAGGACTATATAATTTATAAATAGAAAGTAATTTATTTAATATTTGTATGTAAGGCTCCCTAAAATACTTCGATTTCATCTTCCCCCTCTTTTTCGGTGTAACCTTTACCGGTATAACTCTTTTATCGTTAATGTCAACAACAATAGGTGGTGACTCCACATACGTAGCGGATGACTCTGTATCCAAACCACCAAAAAATGTTTCATCATAGCCATCCACATTATCAATATCATCCACACCAAATTGTCTTTCGTTTTCCCATTCGTCAATTTTCTTCGTAAACTGCTCGATTCTGGTTGCCAAATGATTAACAACACCCATTAACTTGTCTATTTTACTGTTTTATGAGGGGTTGTGGTCTACGCCCCGAACATGAGAGGGTGAGATAATGTAATCTGTTGGCTGAAACTAAGAGGGTTGAGGTGATGGAGACCATTGTTTAGGGGGGCTTTGTTGCATCTGTGGAGACTCCACTCCATCCAAAGTCCAACTAAGATAACGTGAATAGAATGGCAATTCGATCTCAAAATTCGTTGCTTCAACAGCACGTGGAATGTTGTTTTCCTCCAAAATAAAAACATTAACTTTAACTACATATAAATTTTGAGATTTTTTACTATATATTACTTTATAAGGAGTGTATAACTATACCAGTGACACGTCTAATATAAGTAAGCATTGCTCGACAATTAATTGTGTTTTTATTAGTCTTGATGCCCTCGTTCTTGGAAATTCATTTGCGGTGTGATGCACATACCTCAAAGCTTCTGGAAATGTCTCCAGAATCCATACCTACTATAACTTTAACATGTTATGATTTGCTGGTAATTATAAACACTTTAAAATGTGTAGTACTAACTGCACATAAAACTAACCTTAAACGGAAGTTGAAAACCGGTCACCGTATACTTTAACGTCTTCACGAACCCACATTGGCTTGATCTCATAAATATCTATAGATTTTACCAAAACAGAGCCGCAAATGTGTTTTCTTAGACCTCCCTAAAAATGTACCCCACACAAACTTGTCGTACTCATTATAATTAATATAAATCATCTTGTAGTTATAAATAAATAGTAAATTTACTACATGTTAAAATTATATAGATTATTGACGAGTTCATACACTACCGACGGAATGCATGTATTTTATCACGTCCTATAATACCTTTCAACAAAAACAAGATATTCATAAGCATTATCGCATCATCATTGCTACAAGTCAAGAATGTTGGCCCTTTTATGTAGTCTTCTATGTCTTTCAGCCGTAAATCTTCATTTCTAAAATTTGGGAACAACTGACTCCATAATGCAAATTTTGTGTTGTGTTTTGTATTGATTACATCAACATAAGGTCTAAATCTCAAACTGCTAATCAAAAAAAATTCAATGTCACCATATTTCACCACCCTACCTTGTAACTTGAACCAAAACCTCCCAACCCTGGCTACCAGCACATCATGAACGTCATGAAACATCATCAATGACAAAGCATTGGGTCACCATTTAGGGTGGGCATACCAATGAAGATCCCAAACGTGTCTCTCGAAATAATTCAAGTCGCCTACTATTTAGTTTTGGAATGAACTTCCTCAACACAGTGCCCACCACCCCTTTAAAAGCTAATTATGCAGGTCATCCATGCATATTAAGCTGCAAAAGATAACACATATATGGCAAAGTACAATGTTGTAATAACAAAAATGAAAGTAAAAGGCTATAACAAAAGAAAATTAGCAACGTACTTTCAGTTAATTCTTTATTATAGCTTCTTCTTACTTTCATTTTCATTTTCTTTTTTGCAGCTAACATGTGAAAGTACTTATATTTTATGTTTATTATAGCATCTTAAAAATCACTCACATGTCCAATAATTACATAGTGTCTACAAGTCTAGGTTAATAGCAATGTACTTTGATTATTTGTGCCAAAATCAATAGGTCTATTTTTTTAAATAATTTTTTTAACTTATTAATCCGTTTTTATAATTTTAAATCATTATAATTGAAAGAAAAATGTAGAATAATGCCATCACCTTCTAAATGACATGTTGTATTGGCTAATTAATTAGCAAAATCTTATTTCACTTGTGACCCTCTTCCTAATGACCAAAGCTCTGACAAGATTGGAATTGAAAACATCATTAGGGAACGTATCGAATTTTGCATATAAAATTACAAATTTCTTAGAGATGAACATCGATCCGCAGAAGGGGCTCTATGTAACATCCTCATTTTCACGGCCAGAAAAGACCGATTTATTTATGCTTTATTTTGAAAGTTAGAGTAACATTTTAAAGAAAAAAGTTATGGAATTTGTTCCCAGAAAAGACATGATAAATATGTTATCAAAGCATTTCCGAAGAAATGTATTTTATTCATTTTAAAACATTGACATGTCATCGTCAATACAGAAACATAAGCATAAAAAGAACTTACATTCATTATCACTAGTGATTTATGTCTCCTTAATCTCTCAGTGTAATGTAACTTCATATCGATACCTGTGATACAAATAAACTGAGTGGGTCAGGTTGGGAAACCTGGTGAGTACATAGGGTTTTCAACCCACAATAATATAATTATTATGTTTAATCATCAAACAATTAACCCAATTACACATCCCCATTATTTGCGTTATTCTTAAGGGTCTACCCTAAGAATCATCTATCCTGCATTTGTTCATTCCGAAGTCCATCGCTTCCAGGGTTCATATGACAGGCACTAAGTCCATAGCTGCCAATGCTCGTTCGTAAAGCACTAAATCCATAGCTGCTAATCTTCATTTATCGGGCACTAAGTCCATAGCTACCAGCGTTTATCTAATAGGTACTAAATCCATAGATACCAACGTTTCTCTAACAGGTACTAAGTCCATAGCTACCAGTGTGATGCGTGCAATTAGCTACACCTAATTTTAATATTTATAACCTAACTTCCTTACTAACTTAATTGCACCTAGGCAGTGTACCTAGTCAAAATTATAGAATAGTCGAGTAAGTCGGGTGTCGATCACAGGGAACGGTGCTAACTGATTAATCTATTTACTACTAAATTAACCTAATTACTAACAAAGGAAAGGGTTTTATCTGATTTTGCAAGATCAGACGAACTTAACTCCAATTCAATTAATTACTAAAAACACTCTTGTTTAGTTCAAATCCGCTTCTTCTTTATGGTTAGCTAACAATTATGGATTATCAATTTGGTTACTATTGTATTAGTAATTTAAGTCTAAATTTACCAGTATTAACTAATTCATGTAAAACTATGTATGGTCGCACACAATCAAACACAGAATAAGTTGTAGATTATGAATTTGCTATGTAAGATTAGGCAAACACAATTATGGTCATAATTTATGTTCTCTAGCACAACTAAATATATTTAGTTTAATTACTATCTAAGATTTTGGTCGATCCAAGCTCTAACAATTTAATGTTCACTAAATCACTAGGTTTCAAGTTCATGTAATTTAATAATCACTAAGCTACACAGAACATGAATTCAAGCAACTAAAGAAATAAATATTAACATGCTAGGTAGTAACAAATCAAACACAAGCAAGTTACCAACTAAATAAATCCATTATCAATAAGCTAAACCATAAATTAGAAGCTTCATCTAGCTAAACAAGAGTAGCTAGATTCAGCTGCTCATAGCCACAGATAAACTAATACAAATCATATTAGAAGTCATAATGAATGTACCAACCAAATAAACTATCGATGTACTTTCCTTTCCTTAGGTGATAAAACCTTTTCCAGAACTTCTTTTCTTCTCAAAATCGTATTTAGGTCTGCCTTCTATCAGCCAAAAAGCCCCTCAAATCGTAATGGCCAAGAGTATTTATAACTTCTGATTTTGCCGATTTCACGTCGTGACTCGTGAACCAATAAGTCTCATGTCGCGAATATCATATAAACGTGATCGACAAGGATTCTTTCATCCGGATGCATATCTTCTAGATTACTCCACTTACGTCGTGAATCTATAATTACTCACGTCGTGAATCTATAATTACTCACGTCGTGAGTACATATTATTGTTGGATTTTTATCTTTCTTCTTTCAAGCCTTCATAGTTCCATGCTTTGTCCATTTTGGTCCCTTTCTTCGAAAATGCTTCACTTTGGCTGCAAATAACAATTTAACCATATAAGTACCATAATTCTATGCAAATAACCAAAATATTAATAAAAATGTAAATAAATATTGCCTAAAAATATGTATAAATATGACAATATCACTGTGTTTATCTAATAGACACTAAGTCCATAAATGCCAACGTTATTTATTAGGCACTAAGTCTATAGCTGCTAATGTTTACTCATAACATCTTTCATCTCTCATCGTTCATCTACCCATGTTTTACCTAACATATTTGTATATATAAAATACATATATAGTTTAAATCATTTAAAACATGTATAAAATCGTTCATCCAGCATAGAAAGCAAGTATTCAAAGAATATGCACACATAGCATGTAATTTATATAAAATACTTCATATCTATGTGTAAGATGAAAATAACTATGCACTCACCTGTTAAAGTCATGATTCCAAAGTCGGATAGCGCTTCGCTTCTTAACAATATAATTTCATTCGACGAAACCTAGTATAATTACAACTAGATTTTAGTCTAATATTTACCGTGACTAATTATTAGTCTTAGCATTATTATTAATATATAAGCGTTTAAACAATATTTTCCAACCACTATGTACAAACAAGGGCCAGACATAAAACACTAAAGGGCATGACCATTTTGGCATATAGTACTTCTAAAATCCAACAACCCTATGCGGCCCTTTAAGTCAGATTCTCCGTACCGTGAGTAATTAAAAATATACTATAACGACACTTATATAAGTCATAATAATAGCTCAAATATTTATTATAAGTTCATAATAACAATACTAATTTTAAATATGAGCTATAATTAAAATAGGATAAGCATAACTTACTTACAAGGGAGTTTTAGCTAGGAGTCAGGCTCCTGCAGGGGCAGAACTTCGTTGCTGAATCTTTCTAAGAAAGATTATTGTAGCGCTTCAACACTCATCTTACTATACTAAAACTATAGAAAGAGAAGTTGAATCACGAGGGACCGAAATGCTCGGGGGATAAGAAAAGAAAGACTCTTGAATCAAGAGAATGGTGCAAGAAATATGAGAGGCTAGAGACTCTTATTTATAGTAATTGAATTTTCAAAAATCACCCTCTATATTTACTTAAATGACTAAACACCCCTTTATAATACTATTTTAAGTAGATTTAATGATATTTGTACTAAACTAATGTCGAAAGTACTCAACACTAGTCTTATAATGGCCGCATCGTCGATACCTTTCTAATATGTGTGTGTGTATGTATGTATGTATACGTATATATGATTTACACTTTATTTTAATACGTAAATGTGCTATTAAAAATTATAACTCGTTCATACGAACTGTATTTTTGACGTTCTTTATATCCACGCGTCGGTATTTACAAGTAATACAATTTTCATTTAGACGTTGTCAACTAATTCTCATTCTATCTTAGATTTACAAAACTATATCGAATTTATCGCGCTCGAAGAGTAAGGACCAAGTTTCGTCTATATCTTTAACATACGAGCTCTATTATCGATGTTTTTTATACCCACGTGTTGGTATTTATGAGTACTACAACTTTCATTTAGACCCCATCAGCTAATTCTCGTTCTATCTCGAATTTACAAATCTATATCGAATTTGTCGCGCTTGAAGAGTAGGGACTAAGTTTCGTCTATATCTTTCGCATACGAGCTCCGTTTTCGATTGTCTTTTTATCGTTGAGCTCCTATTAACGAGATCTTAAATTCTCGTTTAGACTATTTTGTTTAAAAATCAACCGATCTAAAATTTGAATTTCGGGTTGTGTACTGCTATGCTAAATCTTAGAAAAATCATAACTTCCTCATATGAAGTCAAATTTTGACGTTCTTTTTATGCACACTCTCGGTTTAACATATACTACGACTTTCTTTTAGATCTCTAAGGCTAGAAAGTATTTTATCGTAAATTCACTTTTTACGATTCCCGGTGTCGTGCCGGTTTTGCCGTAAAACTTCGACGGGTCATAACTTCTTTGTTATAACTCGGATTTCAGTGTTTTTTATATATATGGAACCCTTGTGACATATACTATAACTTGGTGAAGATTATTTATTCTAAATAACCTTATATCAAAAAAAGATTATTTTTGACGCTTATTGTCTCTAAATTGACTAACCCGAATCTGCAGGTGTTACACTCTACGGATCTGTTCTTGAGCAACATACCTCTGTGGATCTGTTCTTCGGAGAAAAAAATACTTTCATGGAAAAAATCAGACAAAAATTCGTGATTTACTAATCACTAAACTATCATAAACCCATACAAACTATCATACGCCCTAACAACATATAATTAATTCAAAATTCGGGCAATTACGTTTTCATACCATTTCAAAAGGAGGAAAATAAACTTACATGTGTTCCATAGCCATCGGATAACACATCGGAGTGTAGTTGTTCCACGATCTGCGATATACGCACCATTGGAATGAGCGATTCAGCATCTTCAAGTTGCCTCCTTCCTCTTTCTGCAGTGAGGGTATGAGGAATGAGGTTGGTTTTGGCAATTTTGGGGTATTCGACGATCCTTAGAAACATTTAGCGATCCGCAGAACCATAAAAGGATCTGTAGAGTCACCTCTGCGGAACCAAGAGAGCCGTGAAAATTTGTCATATAGTGATGTCACCTTATTTCCTTGGTATTGTGCTAAGTTCTTCAGAGGTTTAAACCGATCCGTAGAGCCCCCTCTACGGATCTCGTGGTCGTTTTCTAAAACTCCACATTTTATGGTTAAATGCTTAAAACACCCCTTAAATTTTGGTTATTTCATGAATTTTCCCATACCAAAATGTATTTATACTCGCAAGTCATTTTCCCTGAATGTTCATAGTTGATTTTCTTTCTATACATATCTTAGCATATATCAATTTGTTTGTGCATATGCTTTGTAGAACGAAGATGTATATAATTATGTCATATATAGCCCCTTATGTTCAAGAACTATTGAGTTACTATACTAGAAAATTGTTGAAAATGGACACCACACCTACATCTAATAAGGGTTGAGACTAATCGGGGCTGACACTAGGTCAATGTGTGGGGGGCGTGCGACCGCGTAGGGCTCATGTCATTTATCATTTAGGGGCCAAATTTTTTCTAACGTACATTAGCGAAGAATTAGTGACGGATTAGTACAGACTAGTACACATTAGTGACAGATTATTGACAATTTTTTTTGATTAATTTTATAATAGTTATTGGCTTATCACAATATATTGATTTTTTTTGTTTATATAAAAAATCATATTTAGAAGCCCATTTTTAATTTTAGCACACGGCGTTCCAAATCAACGGGATCCACCTCTAATAGACAACAGTACGGATAATTTTTTGCCAAAAATTAATCCACAAAATCTGATCACATTCTTACTTTATCTAATGAATTTTCACAGCGGTAGTCAAATATTGTTTATCATATAATTCATGCTGCTAGCGCGTATTCACAATAATCATCATCATCGGCACCATTTCCATCTAATCCAGCTGGGGCATAATCATAATCTCCATCATCATCATCACTATCTCCTTCTGATGCTGCAGGGGCATGATCGTTGTCTCCATCATCGTCGTCTCCATCTCCTTGTAACCCGGCTGTTGGTGTATGGTTATAAAGATCATCTTCTTTGTCTCCATCTGCTTGGCTCCAGCAACACCACCTTCTTATTGTCATAATAACTGAATACATTTGTGAGAGACTATAAGAAGAAGTTTTAGGGTTTTGATTTTGATTATATAAGAAACTAAGAAGTCATGCTTATATATAGACAAGAGAAGCAAAGTTTGAGTAGTAGAAAACTGAAAAGCCATGCATATTTATGAGCAAGAGAAGTAAACTAGGCATGTTTCACCCACGAAAATAAGTGTGGAGTTATGATCAAATGTCGTGCCTCACATATTTGGGGGCACTTATTTGAGAAAAGTTTAGCAGACATATCAGCAGAGTACAAGTAGAAAAGACGTTAATACTAGTGCTCAAGAAGGTGCGTGTCTAAAAGGTGATTGGGTGGGCACAAGGGAAAAATGTTAGGATTTTTTTTTTTTTTTTTTTACGTTGGCTGCTTAAAATTAATTAATTAATTAATGCATCACTAAAGGAAGTTGCACACTTGCACTGATTCTGGAAAGAGTCCTTCAAAAAGTTGAAGTGTGGAGTCATTACCTAATATGGTTGACAGGTCATCCAGCTGCGCTGCCACATAGGATTTTGCACAATTAGTTCTCCCAAATGCATTGAGTTTGGAGGTCAATTGACATTATTAAAAGTACTGGTGCTCAGTAGCCGTAATTATGCTACTTTTGTTGTTAAGATTCGCTATTTTTTGGGGGAGGAAAAGATCATGAGAATAGATTTTTTGGCTTGTTTGGGAAAAAATATAATATAATAGCCTCTTTTTTTGGGTTATGTGGTTACCCTCATTTAGTTATATGCCTCTAATCGTGCTCTTCTTGCAAAAATGGTGGTGGATTTATAAATGGGAAGACGACTCAATACGAAAGTTGATTATTAGAGTAATTTATGGGCATGCGTGTGTGCGCTGTTAAAAAGTAAGGTGATGAACATTAATATCATCATTGATATGAGAGGTAGAATAGAATATAGATTCTATTAGACAATATGATAACTTAGAAGTACAACAAAAATCCACAAATAGGTTATGCTCCCCCGGCTTCTTAGTTATGGTTCATTTTCTCAACGTTAATTAGAGTTAATGTTAAATATTCGTCACCCAACTCATGCTGCAGGGGCATAGTCATAATCTCCATCATCGTCATCACTATAATCATCATCATCATCATCATCATCATCATCGTCTCCCTCTGATGCTGCTGGAGCATACTCGTACTCTTCATCATCATCACCATTCCCATGTGCTTCTAACCAGGCTGTTGGTGCATAATTGTAGCCATCATCATTGTTGTCCCTGTGTACATGGCTTCTACACCACCACCGTCTGATTGACTTGGTAACAGAAGACATATCCCTTATGAGAGAGTATGAAAAAACTTTGAGGTTTTGGTTGAGTATGAAATAGATTGAGAAGCCATGCATATTTATAGGCAAGAGAAATAGCTAGACTGAGCTTGTTTTGTTATTGTGGTCAAGGTTTGAGGGCATCTCTCTGTCTCAGTTATACACACACACACACCCCTTCATGTGATGTAAGTTATCTTGACATTAACCACCCAAATGTTGTCATGAAGATGAGATTCTTGTCAACAAAGTGTCCATGAAGAGTAAGAAAGTGAAATAATCAAATCTAGATGTGTCGTAAGTTGCATGTGTACGTTTTAGAATGAAATTGCTAAGATAGAATGTTGATCATTATGAGGTCATTTTGCAAAGTAGGGACATATATATGATGGCGTTACTCGAAAGAATATTTGGTCTTAAAAGCCTTAAAGGCTAATTTTGTAAATTTTGTTGTTAGAACTAATCTTTTTTGTATAGAACGTACAAATTACTTCACCAGTACAAAATAGTACAAAACGTATTTAATAGTGCCATGAGTTTATTTTTTTCCCTGGTGCGACGGAAACCTAAAACCACACCATTAAAACATTTCCGCATATAAACCAAGGAACCGCACCATTTAAAGTATTTGTTGGTGTGGTTTTCTTATATTCGCATTAAAATTGCATTATTTGGTACGTTAGTTCAAAACCACACTATTAAACTCGTTTATAAAAAATGGAAACCGCGTCAATAAACAGTGGCGGATACAGAACGTTTTAATAGGAGTGATACTAAAAAAAATTCCGAATAAATCTAAATTAGCAGTGGCATTTACATTTTAAACCGGTGCACCTAATAGAAAAAATATTAAAAAAAATTACACTACGTGCCGGAATCGGAGCAGTGGTCCGGGACCCCCAGGCTCCACTAAGGTCCGACACTATCAATAAAACATTGGGAACCGCAACATTTATTAATTCTTCCCTCTAAAAATTTCATTCTAATTTTTCGTTTCCCTCTCAACTTTTTGTTAATCGCATCAATAAAATATTTATGTTGTTTGTGTGTTTTCCCAACATTTGAAGATAAAACAAATCGGAGAACCAATCTCTTTTCTTCTTCCTTCTTCTCTTGTTTTGATACATGTTTGGTGGCGTCGGGTTGTTTAAGGTGGAATAAGGGTGGTGGATCGGAAATATGTATGAGATGGGACGGTTCTCGGCAAAGGCAGTGGCTCTGTGGCCAGTGTTCTCGGTTGTTAGTGGTGGAGATGGCAAGTGGTGTAAGGGCGGTTTGAAGTAGCAAGATGGTTAACCGAAGGTGGAGCTGACTCATGAAGATGGTGATGGGGTCAACTGTGGTTGTAGGGTGTTTTTTGTGGTTGTAATGGTGGTATCCAGCTAAGGTAGGACAGATGGCAATGGTGTCAACTGGTCGATGTAGAGTTGCTCGACAATGGTTAATTTAGGAAAAAAGTGGTGTGGCTTGGTGATTGTTGCGTTCTCGGTAGCAAATAGGCGGCGGTGATGATGGTGGTTTAAAGGCGGTTTCCAGTAGGTGTTTGTTCCCAGCCAGATAGTAGTTTAAGGGTGGTTGCCTCAAATGAACATATGTCTTGCTTTATTTTTCTTTTCTTTTATTTTTTTCTTTTCTGACTGTAAGCCCCCATTCTTAAGTTTAGACAATACAAGCTCGTGACTTGCTATTTCAAAGCCATACCTTGGTCTCTTCATAATTTGATCAAAATAAAATAGAACAAAAATGATGATATTAAAAAGATTATTACATCCAATGAGTTCCTACAATTGCAATATCTAGAAATGAATTATGTAAGGTCGTGTTATTTTGTAGAGGAGGTATTTGAAGCAACAAACAGAGGTTTTGATGAATCACAAATCGTTGTTAAATTTCCAAACCCAAGAGAAGTGGAATTGGTAGTTTCTGGATTATATGGAAGAGCAAGTGAGGAGTATTTGGTCGAATGTTTTTTTAGTGTGGTTTTCCTATTTGGTGTGATTTGTAAGAATTCTTTATTGGTGCAGTTTGCATCGTTTTCTGGTGTGGTTTGTATTGTTTTTAGATTATGCGTTGATGTGGTTTTGACTATTTTTTTGTGTGGTTTTATAACTGCACCATTAAATAAAGGTATTTTTTGATGCAATATTTGTTGGTGCGGTTCAATGCTTGTACCAATTAAAAATTTTAACCGCATCAACAATGTAACATCCCCAATAGGAGGTATAACTTCTAAAACCTTAATCTTCTATGTGTACCAATTAAAATTTTGTGTAGATCTTCAAGTTTCACCAAGAACACACACTAGTGTTCTTGGCGAAAACCGACCATTCAAGCTCCTATATCATAAGTACTCTTGTTCTAACTCGTTGTACACTAGGTTTAACATGTTTAGGCCTTAGAAACATCAAGAATCAAAGGATGAATTAGAGTTTACGGCCAAGGATCTCCCAAGGCCGTAAACTCCCTATAAGGGTGCAATGATGCCCTCTCTTCCTTCCTTATGTCCAGGACTTAGCCTAGAACCAACCACCATTGAACTCGGGACCTCAAACATCAAAATGGTACTTCATACCATGAGTTTACGACTGTAAACTCATGCGGAAGTGATCCCCAGGCCGTAAACACAAGTTAAGGTCAATTCTTGGACCTTAAACTCACCTAGCCTCTTGTTTAACCTTGGAACACTTGACCCTTAAGATATCATACCTTCAAGCCTCTAAACAATACCCTTTAGAGAGTTTACGGCCAGGAGTAAACTCCCCTGGTCCGTAAACTCCATTAAGTATGGTCCATGGGCCATAAACTCGATAACAATGCCTTACACCCCTTTGTTGCAACCTAATGGCCTCCTAACACTTTGACCAAAGTGTTTTCCTCAAATTAGGGTGTTTATACCTGTCTAATTAGTGTTCTAATCACTAATTGTATACATACATATGTCTTTATATGTTATTAGGATCATTGCGTGTGTTCAAGTCTTCACTTGACACCTAGCACTTGTCCAACACTTCCATACGATCCACTCACTACAGGTGAGTTCATACCCCTTAATTAACTTTTTAAATATTTATAAATGCTTTTATGGGGGGGAATACAAGTTGAATCATGCTAGTTATTATATCAATCACATGTGATTAATAACTAGCATACAAATGGATTTACTACACTTTTAACTATTTACTCGGTATACTACTTCCAAATGTCTTACCAAAACGTTTTTACATGTTAAACTTTTTATCAAAATGTCTTACATATTGTAACTTTCCTTTCAAACTCTATTACAATTGTGTTTCAAACAAATGATTTCTTATAATGTAAACTGTTCTTATCAAACAAACTGTTTTCAAATCATTTTATAAACTGACATCAAGTCATCAATTCTTATTTATTAAACTTTTCAAAGATTTTAAAAAACTTCTTTTATACTTTTATATTGTCAATTGCAGGCCTGTATATGTATAGTTATATAAGTAACGTTTAAAGGACTTAGGACTGCTAGCTCGCTTTAGTTCCTTTTCCTTGTTTGGATGTGGCCTTATGGTATCGGCTACTTTTCTGAATGTCATCTAAATATTAGTTATATATTATGTATACATGTATAGACATAAAAGTTCTATCAGTCCATCTAGCACCTTTGGGTATTAAAGGCATACTTTCCGTTATACACGTACATTACTAGTAACTATAATAAGTATAGTTAGGAGATACTACTTACTATTCCAAGTACAAGGAATCATACAAGAGTCAGTTCATTCATGAGTCTATACTAATACATTACATACTATACGAAGAAATACAATTACAGAAATACTAATACATTACATACTATATGAAGAGATACAACTACAGAGATACGATTATAGAAATACTATTACATACTATTACAGAGATACAACCACAGAGATACGATTACAGAGATACGATTACATAGATACTATTACATAGATATTATTACATACGATACGGGACTGACCATTCTACACCCAAGGTTGTTAGCTACAGTAGGGAAAATTCACATCAACGGATGTCTACGGTTGTATTGTTCGGCGAGTTACCACGCCGTGAATATCCTAGTACAAAAGGATACGATTTCAGTTATTATATTATTTTCCTTATTACTTTTATTTTTTGTCACAGTGTGACATCCCCAAAATCACGGCCAGAAAAGACCGATTTTTGTTTATGCTCTATAAAAATCAGAGTTCTTTTAATAAAAATGTTGCGGAATTCGTTCCCAGAAAAACACGATATATACATTATTAAAACATTTTCGAAGAAACGTATTTTTATTCATTTTAAAACGTTTGGGATGTCATCGTCAATACAGGAACATAAACAAAAACAGAACTTACATTTATTTACACTAGTGATCTACATCTCTTTAAATCTCTCAGTGTAAAGTGACTTCGTTTCAACACCTGTGATATAAATAAACTGAGTGGGTCAGGTTGGGAAACCTGGTGAGTACATAGGGTTTTCAACCCACAATAATATAATTATTATGTTTAAACAATCAAACAATCAACCCAATTATCCATCCCCATTATCTTCTTTAGTCTTAAGGATCTACCCTAAGAATCAGCTATTCCTCGTTTATTTATTCCTAAGGATCATCCTAAGGAATCGACATGAAGTCCATCATTACCAAGGCTTATAGAATGTATCCGGTGAACACGTAGTCCGAAACGTCTGGTAAACACTTAGTTCAAAAGTAACTAGTGAACACACTTAGTTTAAAATACCTAGTGAACACACTTAGTTCAAAGATATGTAGTGAACACACTCAGTTCAAAAATATCTAATGAGCACCTAGTTCAAAAATACCTACATGTTACGAACCTGCTATCGTTCCACTGGACCGTCTAGTATCGTCCATAGTCGTCATCTATACTCCACTAGATGACTGGATCACTGACAACACTGATGTCTCCCATCGTGTTATCACAAAACAACTATTTCATATATCCATGTTTTACCCAACACATTTTGTAGATATAAAATACGTATACAGTTTAAATCATTTAAAACATGTATAAAAATCTTTCACTCAGCATAGACAGCAAGTATTCAGACAATATGCACACATAGCACGTAATTTATATTAAAATACTTCATATCTATGTGTAAGATGAAAGGGACTATGCACTCACTTGAAAGGTGGTGACTCGGCACTCGGACAGCGCTTCGATACTCTCAAAACAATTTCCTTCGATAAAACCTAGTACCAATACCACTAGGGTTTAGTCTAACGATAACCGCGACAAATTAATTAGTCTGACTATTATTATTATTATTATTATTATTATATAAGCGTTAATAACACTCAATATAACTCATAATAATAGCCCAAATACTTATTATAAGTTCCTAATAAAGTTAATATATTAAAACATAAGTTATACTAAAAATAAGGTAGGTACAGCTCACTTACAGCGGGTTTTCTCGAAAACCGGGCTTCACTGGAGCAGCGTTTCCGAGCCGAAAGACCCTTTTTCTCGGGACTCCGGGAGCCTCAGGTCTTCCTTCAGGTGCTAGGGGGTTTACCTAGGCTTTAGGGGGGTTAGGGAGGCTTAGAGAGAGAGAGAGAGTTTAGAGAGAGAAAGAAGAGGGTTGAGGGGTGAGGAAATGAGGGAACCCGGCACCTCTATTTATAGGGGAGAAATCTGATGGACTCGCCGAGTAGGGGGGACCTACTCGCCGATTTGGTCCATGTGGTGGCCTTCTGGTGGTGCCACGTGTCCAATTCTGGTGGTGTCACGTCACCCCCTATCGTGTATCAGCCCTCAAACTTAGAAAAATCATAACTTTTGCATACGATCTTCGTTTTGGATGTTCTTTATATCCACACGTAGGTAAAATCAATATCTACAACTTTCGTTTGGACTCCATCAGCTAATTCTCGACCGATCTCAAATTTAACAGTAGGAGGCGTTTAGACTGTTAAATGACCGCGAAGAATTCATAACTCCTTCATACGGACTCCGTTTTCGTCTGTCTTTTTACCGTTGAGTTCCTATTAATGAGATCTTCAACTCTCATTTAGTTCGCGTAAGCCAAAAACAGCTCGAACTAAAATTCGAGTTTCGGGTCGTGCACTGCTAAGCCGAATCTTAGAAAAATCATAACTTCTTCATACGAAGTCGGATTTTGGCGTTCTTTTTATGGATTTTCTCGGTTTAACATATTCTACGACTTTCATTTAGATCTCTAAGGCTAAAAAGTCTTCTATCGTAAATTCACTATTTACGTCTCCCGGTGCCGTGCCGGTTTTGCTGTAAAACTTCGGCGGGCCATAACTTCTTCGTTATAACTCGTATTTCGGCGTTCTTTAAATGTATGGAAACCTTGTGATATATTCTATAACTTGGTTAAGATTATTTATTCTAAATAATCTTTTTTCAAAAAGTCATATTCGACCCCTATTACCTCTAAATTGACTAGCCCGGATCTACGGGCGTTACACACAGTCACATAATCGATGAGGTGGATTAGATTTGAATAATAATAGTTGTACTTGGGAAAACCCTTCACTTATGTAGAGGTTCAAACCTTCAAAACAGTCGAGTCTTGGTAGAAGACTACATTTTATACTAGTAGGAAATATGGGATTTTCTAGGGTTTTCAGACTTATACGAACTTTTCTTCAAACATTTACAAGTCTTTTCCATACAGTTTTTACAAATCAAAGACATTAAAATACTTATGAATTCACCAACTTTATTGCTGATACTCGCTTTCAAAATAACTTGTATTCTCAGGTCACAAATAGACAGGTACGACGACCAGGTTTTGTGAAGATAGAACAGTCAAGACTCGTCTTTTATTTTGATTATTCATTATGTTGTTTTATTCTATGAAATAACACACATGTATTTAAAATTATACTATTAATGCAATTGATGATGTTGTTGCTTGTTTACTACTTTATATTGTTGTGATACATTATATTACGTCCTCCGCCCCAGAATGTTTCCGGCGTTCTCGGTTTTGGGGTGTGACACTTTTAATGTAATATGTTGTACATAAGGGTGTTTGTGTACTTTGAATTGGTGTGTAAATGTTTATGTGCTCTAAATTGATTTTTAAATTTTTATGTAATTTGTATTGCATTTTAATTGTTATTTTTATACGTTGGTTTAAATACTTTCCAGAATTGCCCCTTCACTTACCAATCAAGAATAACTGCATGTCACGGTTTTGGCTCATGTATGTTTTTTTTTTTAATATTTGGCCCTACCAAAGTTGTCAAAGTTGGTAATTTTCTATCTATATTTGTGCTTACTTTATCTAGTAAATTGTATATGCAAGTCTTGAGGCCTCATGTCCAAAATAGACCTTTTTCCTTTATACCTTTACAGTATCTGAGCATACGAAATAAACTTTTTCCCTATAAAGCATGTGGTCCCAAATATGTATATAGAACAAGTTAAAGCTTTGGATTCTCCAATAGGCGTCGACATATACTAAAATAAAGACACAATATGTATAATGTCATAATAGTCATTTGCATTCATTTGGGTTTTATACATAACATCATTGACAACCAAAAGAGTGGCTTCCATATTTGCCATCAATAAAGAAAACACTATCGACTATACCAAAAGCAGAAAGCCATAACTACAATACCAGATTCCCCCAAAACACTAACACTTAAAAGTTAACACCCAAAAATGAAAACACAAACAAAGCAAAGCAACGACCCTTCATGAGAACCACCTGTAAGCTGCCACCACTTCCACAATAGCTACCACTCCAAATACACTTGTTACAGCAAGCATCTTCTTCATCTTAGCAATTTCAGTCGATGCCCTAACATACGCCGGTTGGAGGGAATAAAAATGGTTTGTGAGGTCATCTGCCAAATGGGACATCTTCAAGACACATGCCCTTACATTGTCGACCTTCCGATTCATGGCATCCATATCTTGGCTCAGACTTTCCCTGAGCTCGCGTTGGTCTGCATTCACTTCCTCCCTGATGAGTGACACCTCAAGATGAAGTTGTAGAAGAGTTATTTGGATGTCTTGTGGCTCGCCTACAATAGAGTTGTTGGCTGGTAAGTGAAGCCAGTCTTCGAAGAACCAGCTGTTGCGAGGCAATGTCACAGAAGGCATTTTTGGCTTAGTTAGGGTACGACTTGCTTTGCAAATTTAGGGAAACAAATTTACTGATAGTTATTGTTTTAGGGCACGAACATTCTTTTTATAACCATGTCGATGTTCAATTGTGTCTCGGTTTGTGTTGCGTTATGTCCAAAACAACGTCGTTTCCTCCATATCATAACAAAGCAGGCTTAATTTTGTGACGTGGCATTTGTGACTGGTAAAAATAAGTAAAAGGGACTAACTGAACAGGTCTCAATACATTTTGTTCCCTTAAAAGGCAAGAAAAAAGTTTAGTGACTGAAAGGGTAAAGTCAAAATACATTATTGGGCTGTTGCGTCATTTTCCCAAAAGTTAACATCTCAATTCTTTCTTTAATTCAAGCTTTTTTAAGAAACCAAAAGCTAAAATATCAGCTTTTTAATTCGAGTTTTTTTAAAGCTAAAACTTAAACCTCTCATAAGCTAGTGGCATAGTTTTACACCCTATAACTAGGGTTGTAAACGAAGCGAACGAACACGAACGGGGGGGCTTGTTCATATCCGTTCGTTTAAGTTAGCCGAACAAATAAACGGACACAAACGGATAAACGAACAAGTTTTTTTGTTTATGTTCATTCGTTTAACAAATTGCATTATTCATGTTTGTTCGTTTATGTTCGTGAGCATGCTAAATGAACATAAATGAACAAAGATAAAAAAACATAATTCAAACATATATGGACATAAATAAATATATAATATAGTAATGTAATCAAATACAATTAAACATGTATGAACATTAAAAGAACTTATATGAATAAACATAAACAAATGTAAACGAACGTTCACGAACATAATTGAACGAACGACATCATTATTTATGTTCGTTCGTTTAACTAAACGAGTAAGAATTTGTGTTCATGTTCATTCATTTATTAAATAAACGAACTTTCTGCCAAACAATTCGTTGAACGTTCAGTTCATTTATAGCCCTACCTATAACCATCTAAAAGCCACAAATCAAGTTTTTTTCAGTAACCCACGACATCATCAACTAATCTATGAGAAGTTTGTCATCATCATTTGAATAATTATATAAAAACAAAACATGTCAATAACAACACATTCAAAATTAAACATGTTCGAGAGCAAACATTACCACTTAGGCAAAAATAAATGAGACATTGTATTACATTGCAGAAAAGCATCAAATTTCAAAGCTTAAAAGGTAAGGAAATACGGCAAGACAAATGGCTAAAGGGTTGTGGAGGAGATAATTAGGTAGTACTATTATGATTGGTTCGTGTGAAACTCAGTAAAATTCCAAATTTCACTTTTCACCACAGTAAAAGTGTAACGATTTTTTACTTCCAGATCTTTCGAAGTGACATGTTTTTCTCAGTTTCCTTCTTCATAACTTTAGCCACTGCCATCTCAAAATCTTCTTGTGTCACATGCACTCTCCTTTCTCTCAATGCAAACATCCTTGCCTCTGTGCCATACGAACTGTAAGGTTAAAATGGTCATTATAACTCTTATTCATTACAAAAACGAAATATTTCTAAATTTATAATATTTGTCAATTACAACTTACCTTAAGTTCTGCACCCGAAGCACCATTCATCTTCTCATCAATCTTTTTCAGATCAATCTTTCTATCAATTCCAGATTCCATTCGAGTAGATCCAATACTGTCAATTTCATCCATGAATATAATCAATGGAGCATGTTCCCTGCACAAAAGAAAAGGTTGGAACTAAAAAACTTGGAGGACTGAAATTTGTCAAGAGATGAAACTTGAAGGTGCAAACCTAGCTATAACCAAAGCTCTCTAACCATTCTGGAACCTTCTCTGATGTATTTTTGTACTAATTCAGAACCAGAAACCCTAATGAAATTACTGTCAGTTGCCTATTTAAAGGAAGTAATGGCTAAGGTTTCCTTTACCCTTAGTCTCCATCACCTCCAAAAGCCTGGAAGCAAACCTTAAACCCCTATCCTCCATTCTTGAGCTTATTTTTCTATTTTGGTGCATTTGGAAGGAAGAAGAAGAAGGTTCTAGTGCAAGAATCAAGCAAGAAACTCCTCCCCACCTTTAAGTTCACCTTTTGGACCTTTGTAAGTCCTCTTTTTTGGATATTGTTGGATATCTCTCTTTAGATCTAAGTTTTATTGGCTTTTCTTCATCTTCTTGGTGTTTTGAGTGGTTGGATTCAATAAAGTTTGCAACTTCATTGATCCTTGTAATCCCAAGAAGCCTCCTGGAAAGTATGAGCTTAGGGATTAACAGATTGAGAGCTTAATCCATTAAGATGTTCTTTGTGCAGTTGTCACGTCGTGGCGATTTCACTGGCTGCGACTGTTTTACTTTCAGTCAAATTAATAGCTTTAGAATGTAGATTAAGGGTTTACCTTGTATGATTATGTAGAAGGTGTGTAGCGCTTGATTTTAAGTTATGTGAGTCGTTAGTTTTCATTCGTGATTGTGAGGTGAATCTCCTCACTATATTATGTATGTGCTAGCTGTCTTTGTGACTCTTACATGCAATACCAGGTTTGGCCCCTGGAATTTATATGAAAGATCAGGGTTTTGCCTCTAGCACTTGTATGAAATACCAGGGTTTGGCCCCTGACAGTTGTATGGAAGATCAGGATTTGGCCCTGGCACTTATACAAGTAAATACCATGATTTGGCCCATATCAGAAAGTGATAGTAAGACTATGATTCGACCAATAGCATTCACTTGTGGTTGAGATAGACCGGCTATAGTTTGTATGGTATGTGGTATTTTGGGAAACTTGCTAAGATTTATGTTTACGGTTTTGTAGTTTAAATGTTTCAGATACTTATGGTTCCAAAGGGAAAGGTATGGCATGATCGCACAACACCTCCTAAAAATTGTTCTGTCCTTTTTAGTTGATTCACTCGTATGTTTAAGAATATTTTGTACATTGTTTGGTTTGAAAACAATGGATTGTATCGTTTTTTGGTGTTTTGAAAAATGAAATTTTTTACTAGTATTTGGGACATTACAGATTCAAACCCAAATCATTTTATGGTCAACAAGATCACACAATTTGATGGTGATACCATCTAGCTTAGAACACATCTGTTGGCCATACATGATATTGCGAGGAGTGAGATTAGTACAACAATTTGGTAAGAACCTCAGTACCATACTAGTGCTACTGGTTGCACTAGTTTCTTGATTCAACTTGCGCCATATAGCTTCGGTGGAAAAATCATCTAGTACAGCAATGTGAGAAAGAACAACCAAAAACGAGGTTAAAGCACCTATATTTATATTGGACATTCCTAACAGTTATGACTCTTTATGAACAGTCACAGCCGTTCATAAATTTAAATAAAATAAAAAGTGAAATTCAGTTTTCCCTCCAAAAATAACTATCAACGGAAAAGTTAACTTTCCATTAAATTTAAGACCAAAATGTAAAGAATTTTACGCAAATGAGGTTCAAATTATAAACCCACAAAAGTTTTTTTTCACCCACCAATGTGTGATACTTTGTCAAAACAAGAAAACAATATACCACATAAAATATGTGATAAATACTACTTGTTCCAACAGTTTCCACAGCGATTAAAAATCAGCAACACGCATTTGATCGATTTAATTTCCAACTTCAGCTAACAATTCTGAAGATTTTTCTTTTTCGTGCATTTGGCCTTTCATCTGTTTTGATAAAAAATGATCTGTAAGTTCTTATTTCTCCCGTGAAGTTGTAAATCAGTAAGAATTGACATTCTCCTCTGTGAACTATTTTAGGATTGAAGAAATTCCCTAAACCAAAAATATATGTTCCCTTTCATCAGTTTGATCGAAAATTATCATCTGTAAGTTCTTATTCACTTTCTGTTTCCAAATTGTTTCCAAATTGACATGATTTTAGATCCAATTGTTTCTAGCATTTACATATTCTTTTCAATGGCAAAAATATATATGATCTAACATACTGCTTCTTTTCCACACACACACACAAAAAAAATATATATATATTTTTATGCTAACTGTTGTTTGACATGAAAAGTCTGAATTTACATCTAGCATTAGCATATAGGTGATATTATGAAGTTCCTGGTGAATTTTATTGGAATTCTAATATAAGTCTAATGCAGTTTGTGTTAGCATGAAAGATATTTTCCATGCAATGCAACGTGGTAGTTAGATTAAAGTATATGATGCATGATGCATTTGTGTGTGTATATATATATAATATGGGTTAGGTTCATTTGAGACCACCTATATTTTGTGAGACCGTGAGACGCATTTTTTTATTTTTTTTTATTTTTTTTAGTTAATTCATGTTCCGAAAATAATATTTAAAAAAAGAATTTTTTTGATTTTTCTATTTATTTTGCATTTTAAAATTATTTTTAGAATATGTACAGTGTAAAATTCTATTTAGAATATTTCACGTATTTTTCAAAAAAAATAGAATTTTTTTTTATTTTTTTTTTATTTTTTTTAGTTAATTCAAGTTCCGAAAATAATATTCAAAAAAAGAATTTTTAGATTTTTCCGTTTATTTTGCATTTTAAAATTATTTTTTAGAATGTGTCAGTGTAATATTCTATTTAGAATATTTCACGTATTTTTCAAAAAAAAAAAACGGAATTTTTTTTATTATTTTTTTTTTATATTTTTTTTAGTTAATTCAAGTTCCGAAAATAATATTTAAAAAAAGAATTTTTGGATTTTTCCATTTATTTTGAATTTTAAAATTATTTTTAGATTTGGTTTCACGATCTCACAAAATTAGAATGGTCTCAAATGAATCTGAACTATATATATATATATATATATATATATATATATATATATATATATATATATATATATATATATATATATATATATATATATATAATATATATATATATATATATATATATATATATATATCATGTCACAATGTCTTTGATGGTGATTGAATAGGAGGCCCCCACACATATTTCACACCCTTTCGTAGTTAGATTAAAATGTACCTTTTTAATCCTTATCGTATTA